TACTCTAATCCTAGCATTTAGGAGGCTGAGGCAAGAGGACAGGCATTTGTGGCCAACCTGGGCTAAGTAGCATGCACCCTCCAAGTCAGTCTATATAGCCAGACACTCTCTCAAATGCCAATCAAGCAAAACTACCCTAAAATACAGTGAGCAATTGTACTGACAGATTATGGATTTATATATTTTTCTTAGTCTAACTAGAGTCCTGGTGGGACAAAATCCAGGGACGTGAATACATGAATAGTAAAAGAAATGTTTATTTAAATGTTTACTTGCTATGAAGTAAGCTAGCAGGTACCAAATAGACCAGGGGTCGTATTCTCTAAATACGAAACAAGCGGCTCTGGGCCAATTGCTAGCGGTGACATTTGACTGCTCACACATGGTGATGGATAGGGCAGAGAATAAACCTTTACAGCCGGCCTCTGAGATACAAGGAAAGATAGTGATGAAGTGAAGCTTCCTGGAACATTTCTGCCGGTGGTCATGTCCAGCCTCTCAGTCTGTAGAGTGCAGGGTTTAACAATGAACAGCAGCAGCAGGACAAGTCACAGTACTGAGTGTGGAGTGAAGGATGCACAGAGAAGATGGTGTTGGCTGTAGGAGTACTTGTGCACAGAGCGCATACTAAAATGTAGAACTTTCTAAACTTGCTTTAGCTGGTAAACTTTTGACTCCAAACAGTTGCAACCCAGTTTGGTAACCAGGGTGCTCTGACTGTCAAGCTCAGTATGGAACTGTTTAGGTTGCATACAAGCTCCTGAGTATGTTGACACAAAGACATTTTATGATCATAGAGGGCATGCATTTTAGCCAGGCATTTGCTGTATAAACCTCTTGATTCTATTTGTGGAACAACAAGCTTTGGGCCACCTTGAAGGAATTCTAGGCATCAAGTAAGCGAGCAAGTTTAGGAGGCCTGGAGGTGGTAGGGGGAAGATTCTGAAATTGATCTGCATGTGCTTGTAAGGTTAATCCAAACATCTGAAGGAAAGCCTGGTTTAGGCTGCTGAAGATGAAGAGGGTGGTTCAAGAAGGATGACCTGCCATCACCTCTGTGGACAGGCAGGTGCCTCCCTACCAACAGCTGCAGCTGTCAGAGTGCTAGTCCAGGGAGGAGCACCCTAGTGTACCCGGAGGAGCACCCCAGCGTGTCTAGAGGAGCACCACAGAGTGTCTGGAGAAGCATCCCAGTGTATCTGGAGGAGCATCCCAGAGTGCCTGGAGGAGCACCCAGCATGCCTGGAGGAGCACCCCAGAGTGTCTGGAAAAGCATCCCAGCGTATCTGGAGGAGCACCCCAGCGTGTCTGGAGGAGCATGCAGCATGCCTGGAGGAGCACCCCAGCATGCCTGGAGGAGCACCCCAGCATGCCTGGAGGAGCATCCAGCATGCCTGGAGGAGCATCCAGCATGCCTGGAGGAGCATCCAGCATGCCTGGAGGAGCACCCCAGCGTTTCTGGAGGAGCATCCAGCATGCCTGGAGGAGCATCCAGCATGCCTGGAGGAGCATCCAGCATGCCTGGAGGAGCATCCAGCATGCCTGGAGGAGCACCCCAGCGTGTCTGGAGGAGCACCCAGCGTGCACTGATGTCTCCTCCAGGCCTTTCTACTCCCACATGATAGTCGCAGGAGTTCTTGTGCATCTGAGAGCTACTGCTTACTTGTTTCCTCTCTGACCAGCGCTCAGCCCCCAGTTCTTTCCTTTGCTTTGACAGCTTGGGCAAGGAGAGTGTGGCATGTGTACATAGTGGAGTATTACCCAACTATCAAGAAGAGTGAAATCATGAAATTTGCAGGTGAATAGATGGAGCTGGAAAGAAAATGATACCAAGTGGCAAACACTACCTCTTCTCTCTCATACACAGAGCTGACTTGCAAGTATTTTATCTGCATATTTAAATTGGAGCACAAGTTGAGGGGGAAAACTAGGAAGGGGTTTGGGGGGCATGTGAAGGGAGGAAGATAGTGGAGTACAGGTGAAATGAAAGCAGGAAGGTGAGGAGGAGACAGGGAGGCTTAGGCAGGGAAGGGTGTGGGGGAAATCAAGGAGTGTAAAGGACAGGGCTAACCCAAAGGAGGAGGGTACAAAAATCCATACGGGAGACCACAACCTGATTGTTTCCCAGTTGTGGGATAACAGAACACAGGTAAGAACAAAGAAGAGGAGCAATAATGAGGGTTAAGAGATTCAGCAGGCCTGGGGGTGGTGAGTTTAGGGAGAGAAGAGGGGAGTGGATAGGGTAGCTAAAACTAAGGGTATATAGAGAAGCCTTATGGAAGCCCAATTATTAAGCTAATTTCAAAATAAAACATTTAACAGCAAAAACAACAAGAGTTTGGACAGTGTTATCCTTTATGGGTGGATAAGGTCACTACCTTTTGTCAGTTCCCCTTCCCCACACCCTTGGGGTTTTTGTTTGTTTGTTTGTTTGTTTTTGTTGTTGTTGTTTTCTCTATGTCACCTTGGTTGTCCTGGAACTCATTCTGTAGACCAGGCTGGCCTCGAACTCTCGGAGATCAGCCTGCCTCTGCCATCTGAGGATTGGGATTAAAGGCGTGTGCCACCACCGCCCAGCTTCTCAGCTCTCACCATGAGTTTGGTCTGGGAATTTTCATCTTTCTTGCTGCTTTGCAGTCTTTCATTATCCGGCTCATCTCTTCTATTCTGCTTTTCACTTTTGGGTCTGATCTTAAAATCAGAGGCAAGACCAGTGTTTTTATCTGTACATTGGATTTCTTTAAACTTCGGGCTACTCTTTGTCAACAAGATATGTAGGTGTTGCTGAGAATTTTGTTCAGTCCTTTAGCTTGCTTCTCTCACGTTAGGAGTCACCCACTCTAGGCTTTTCCATCCAGTTATCGTTATAATATACTCTCTCTCAATCCAATATTTTTCATAGAGTCAAAACTTATTTTAGACTCTCATCTTACAACTTGGTGTGACTTCGCTGGCTCTCAAATATTATGATATCCTTCATAGAACTCTGTCATCTTCAGCGGGTGCCATCTTTGAGACATCATCCTCTCCATTATCTTTTGTTCCATAGTTGCTGTGACATTTGATTGATTTCTCGAAGATTTGTGATTGAATATTCGAAGAAGACATGTTCAGAAATAACATGACTCTGGCTTTTGGGTGCCTCCTGAAGACAAAGTTTTCTTCTTTGCTCACTTTCTTAACTTGCGAGGATTTCGTTTTACTTTAGATTCTCTTCAAAAAGTATAATAAACTTACTGTGTTAGCTTCATGCACTTTACTGTTTTAAGGGAGCATCTTCGTAGAGAAAAGAAAGTAAGCTAATCCCCAGTGGATAAGTAGTTATTATTTATTGGTAAGTGAGCAGCCAGTCAGAATGTCTCTGATTGTATTTGAGCCTCTGGTCTTCCTGACTCTGTCTCCTTACCTTTGAATACTAAGTTTCTTCTTCTATGAGTTTAAATGTGGATTGTTCTTGTTATCACTTGAATTATGTATCAATTCTTAGAACTCTTAGATTCCCTGCTTGAAAAACAGTTAATGGCTCCTAATATTAATCATGTCAGTCACACATGGGCCTGCTAAGTTTCACTGGTTTAGGTGATTTTATACCAAACATCTGAGTTCTAATCTTAAGGCGTTATAAATACTGGAGTCTGTCAATAAAAAGGTCTGTGTGTGAGTTTGGGCAAGTGTATAAATATATATTTGTCTTATAAAGGAAGGTCCTATCATGTTTGTTCACTTACTTGATTTTCCTGTCCCAATCCTTGGGAATGAGTGTGCATGAATTCTCCTCTTATTCTAGAATACAGAAAGAAACCCAAAAGTCTACTGATCATTTGGGTTTTGCTGTAAAGCTGGGCCTCCTAACATCTTCAATTGATTTTAGTGCTTGATTATATATATTTATTTTTTACCCTGCTATCAACACAAATGGATATACGTCCCTGTGCGAGGCTAGAGGAGAAGCTGGGTGGCCCACTAGTGTTTCCACCACTCATGGTAGCATCTGATGGGATGATAACTCAGACTCATGATGACAGTCGCCGTGTCTCTGGAACTTTCTGGGGTTTAGAAGCCATGAGCTCTACTCAGCAGTTCATTTTTTTGGCAGCAGGCAGTACTCTGTTTTCCTTGGCTTTTTCTCCCAGCAAGTATTATAAGCCCTCTGTCCTCACTGTGGGCTGATTACTCTCTTCTGTTCACTGGAGCCATAATTCAGTAGAAGCTATTTTTACCCCAGGACATGCAGATAGAAGTAGTGTAATTGAGAACACTGTCTTGAGGTGAAATTGGCTAGAATTTGATGCACTAAATCTGATATAGTCTGGCTTGCTTGTCCTTATAGGCAACTCACTGAAATAAAAAAGTTAAGGATGTTTTTGTTTATTTGTTGTTTGTTTTTCTACTTTTTGAATTGCATCACCATTGAGGCTAACTGTTCATTAGGAGATAATGATTTTGTCTTCATAGAAAAATCAAACTTAAAAGTAACCACTTACATACACACAATGCATTTAATGGGGTCATTAACTTACTCAGGTGATATCAAGGAATTCCATTACATTCACATTTAACAGAAATATCTTTCAAATACATTCCTTTTTGTGTATGTGTTCAATTAATTGCTATCCAATAGTTTCAGAAGAATCATGTTGAACCTGACTGAAGATAAATAATAGTTATTTAGATTTGGTCCTTATAATTTGAGACCTTCAGAAAAATGACACCTCAACTCCTTGCTTTAGCAAATATTTTCTGTATTGATGGTATGTAAATGGAATGAGTAGAAATTCTTATTTTGTAGTGTTTTGTGGTAGATGATTATCTAGACCAGCGGTGGGGATGAAATAGAGCTTAGCTATGCTGGAAGAGTATTGACCTTCACAAGCCCTGGGTCCCTTTCCTAAATCTGGTGATGCAAAGCAGGGAGTGGAAATGGAGAAATTATGTAGTAGCCATTATACAACCAGTAAAAATAAATGGAACTGTACTACAAATAATCTGTTATATTTCAGGTCCTCCGGGGAAACGAGGGAAGAGAGGCCGAAGAGGAGAGTCTGGTAAGTAATTGCCTCACGTTATTAAAGTTCTGGTGCAGGAGTTATGGTTTTTCCCCTTAACCAAAGGTACTATTCTCTTGTTGGAAGGTGTGCATATGTTCGGCAAGTCTAGTCTAGATTTTGGATTTAAGAATAGACCCTAATATCAACAAACTTTAGGAAGGAAGTATTGGCAAACTGTTGTTTATTGTGATAACTACAGACTCTTCCACCCCTGTTCTAGCTTGCTTGGCCATCAAAGTCTACCTGGCCTGTGTTCCTTGTTGGAGTTCTCACCCACACATGCTATGACCACATCGCCATGTGTCCTCTCTCTGGGTGACCAGCTGGGGGGGTATTTATCTGTCTTAGCACTTTAAGGAGGACCCTGGAAAGCTCTGCTATTTTATCCAGTGGGCATAGTATGTCATACTGCTCCACTGTTATTACTGACTCTAGGGTGTCTCCTGCTACAGCCACGGAGCTTCGGTGGTTAGAGCAGCATCCTTAGTCTCGGGGTTTCTGTGATGTCATTGTGGAAATGGGGCAGTTGACTGATCTGGCCACGGCTATTACAGTCATTTCTCCCGATGCTCACTTCAGTAGCTTGTGCTTTCGGGACAGATTCCTATAGGTAAGGTAAAGTAGAAAAGGCCAAAGTAATATTTCTGAAATCAAGATATAGCAATAAGGGAGGTCAGTTACTGCTCTTACTGTAAGAGGTCTCAGATTTTAGACGGGTCAATAGCCATGAGCTATTTCTCATGAGGACATCAGGTCTTCCTTTCATGGTGACTCCAGCTCCGAGATGGGATTCTCCACTCTCTAGTGTTAGTTTTTATGAATATTTAAGACAATGACTGACCGGTCGTTGAAATAGTGGAGCTGTCTCTATCAGGAAGACCAGGCAGTGCCCACACCCTTTCAGAAAAGATGAGAACATGAAAGGGATTCTGAAAATTCATCAGCTGGGGAGGGTGGCTGCTGGTTCCCAGGTATTCTCAAAAGCTGGCCTTGGGCCACCCTGAATCTGGATGGCCTGGCAGAGTTTGTAATAGAGTTCTTTAAAAATTAAACGTTAAGGTTAGCACGAAAAGCAGTGGGACCCATCATTTTTGTATCCTTATACATACGTATTATAACAGTTTGTTCCCATTTGTCTGACTCCACCAATCCCTACACCACCTCATGCTTCCTACACTCCCACTGGTTCCCCTTCTCCCCAAGTAATCTTGAGGGAAAAGAAATGATAAAGCAATCACCAAAGTAATCTTCTTCAAAAGATTGAGGGGGGAAGATGAAAACTGAGTACTTGTGCAAAGTTCTATAGACAAGCTAAAAAATCACCTTCCAAATGCCTAGTCACTGAGAGTTGGCGTTTAGAGCATAAGGTGCGTGAAATACAGAAATGCTCTCAGTTTTTGCCTGGGCTCTGGTTTAAAGAAACCTACAGAGTTGCTAGGCCTGGGCTTTTATGTATCGGGGGAAGCATTGAAGGAAGGACACTCTTGAAGGAAAGCCTTCAGCCGATGGTAGGCTTTGCTCATTTGACTGTGTTTATCAAGCTCAGGTCTCTGGAGTAGCCTTCAAACACAGTCAAGGTTCTCCTGGCTCGTATTTTACTTAGACTCACTTGTATTATGTAGTTTTATTTCAAATTCACAAGTCTCTCAGATGCATATTAGTAGGCTTTGGAGAACCTGACAGTTTGTCCAAATTCTATGCACAATTTGTGTTTGGGCATAAATTTATTTTTTCTGTCATCTCCAAGTCTGTGATGTAAAGAAAACATCTAGGACTCACTGTGTTGTAAGTCCCCTTTGTATCATTAGTATTGTGCTGGTAGTTATAATGATATCTATTAATTAATTTCAACATTTATATTCACTAATTTCTCTTTCTCTCTTTTCACCCCCCCCACAGGTCCTCCTGTAAGTATAGTCTGATGAGTTCGGCTCTTTCTACATTAACCAGGATCCACGTATGTTAAAACCTCGTTAAAAACAGATATGGTGGAAGCTTCATTTAGGATTGACCTTTTACGAATGTTTAAATGCGGAAGATGATTTCTTTACTAGAATATTTTGGGTCATGTGCTACACTAGAACGCAGTTTTTGGGGTGGGCTTTATTTTTTTTATGTTGTCACACACTGATTACTCTCTTGAGACTTCGGGGTAACACATGAAGCCCCTGGTTTTGAGTCTTTTTCCTGGAATCCTGAGATTGCTTTTGCACGCAGGTCTCCCAACTATTTCACACTTCTTTTTCCATCTGTTTAAACTCGTGGCTGAGATATTTGGACTCGCCGGCCCACCAAATGTAGATGGCAACATGATCGTGGAAGCGATACCCCCTGTGCGCCGCCGGGGCCAGTCCTCCCTTCTTAGGCAGCACTCCCTTTGAAGTCTGTTGGAGCCCTGCCTGCATAAGGAGCCTGAGACGTGGCCCTTGGAGAGTTTGTGCTCCTTTCTTTCCCTGCGTAGGTCATAGCTGTGGCATTCCAGACCGCTGTGCACTCACAGGAATAGATTATCTTGTCAGCTTTGTGCTCGATGCATTTTTTTTGAGTAATATCCTGGCTATCTGCTGTCTGACCCCCGTGTTTATACTGTGCACCGGGCCTTTTCAGTAGCAACGATCGTTAGCCTTGAGATAGTTTCTCATCCCAGGCTCTACACTGCCAATTTATCTGAGGCCAGCATAGTCCGGGGAGAGGGATTAACACACACTTGTTGACTTGTTCAGAGGAAGCATTGGCTTCTAAATATCTTTTGCAGTCTTCCTGCCATGTTCAAGGATGGGCCATGAATCACGTTTGCGATGATCTCGCTTCCGTGACTGACTTATCTGCTCTTGCTCAATGCTAAGTAGACAGCATGGCCCAGGTCTAGAAGCCTTGACTCTGCCTTCATATTTAAGTGCCTGTCTTTAAAACTCAAAACAAAACATGACTGCCCCTGAGGAAACTCCCAAGGTTACCAGGGGAGTGATGTGTTCAAGGTTTCTTTCTGTGGAATTTGTATTTGTCAGTCAGATCAAGAAGTTAATTCTCATGTCTGCAAGGGTATTACCTTTAAGATGCAAGTATTTCCTCCTTGATTCTTTAAACAACATGTAGCATGGTACCTTTGTTTGCTTGGGCTATTTCTTAGCCCAGATTTTCTGCTATAAGATTTTGTGTATCTTTTCTTACTATATATAAAGAAAGAAAGAACTGATTAGGTCTCAACTCTCTGGTGTGCAATTGTCTAGGGACTTTGTACCCCATATTTCATATTTATTCATGCCAGCCCTCTGATATTGCTAGCCCCATTGCCCAGTGATGAAGCCTAAGGTTCACTGAGGTTAATTCCACAAGGCTGCTTAGCCAAGGGCTTGCGAGGTTAAAATTCAGTTGGATATATCTGATTTTATATAATTTCAGCTTCATGCTTAGTTCTTTATGAAACCTAAGTGTGTTACAACGCAGACCATTGTTATACAAATTAGGTAGCCCATAGTTAAATCACATTCCCTGGCATTAATAATTATGTACACTATAAGCTTGGTAAGTCAAAGTAAAATGTCCACATTATAAAGCAAGCGTGACCTCCCCTCCATGCTATCTGAACTTCATTTCAAACAGGCCATGACAAGGGCAGCTAACTACTTCAAAGACATACGTTGTGACCCTGTGTTTTCATGCTAAGTAAGAGACAGTTCAAACTGGTCACATGAGGATCAGATGAGAGGCAGTTAAAAGGAGAAATGTCCCCCACAGGCTCAGGAGTGCGCACACTTTCCCCCCAGGCGGTGGCATTGCTTGAGGAGGTAGAAGGTCCAACTTTGCTGGAGGGAGTCAGACTGCCTGCTTCTGCCGCGCCTCCCCATAAGATGAATTCTAAGCTATAATTCAGAATAAACTCCTTACATAAATCCTTTTTGGTCCTGGTGTTTAATCACAGCAATAGAAAAGTAGCTGGTACACTAGCAGTTGGAAGAAAAGGAAGAAAAATACATAAACTGTGCAGCCTTTTGTAATGCAATGGAGTTGTATCTTGTTGCTTATGTTGCTCTGCCTGGGGCTCTGAGATGGTTAAAATGATCTCATAATGAAATTCTGTTGAGCCCCTCATTTTTTTACCCCCCCTCCCCCACCCAGGATTTCTAAGAAGCAGCTGCCTTCCATCTAGTTTTCCTTTAGAATAGGTAGCTTTATAGGCAATTACCATGGTCTGAATAAATATATATTTTTTTTTTTTTGGTTTTTCGAGACAGGGTTTCTCTGTGGTTTTGGAGCCTGTCCTGGAACTAGCTCTTGTAGACCAGGCTGGTCTCGAACTCACAGAGATCCGCCTGCCTCTGCCTCCCGAGTGCTGGGATTAAAGGCGTGCCCCACCACCGCCCGGTATGAATAAATATTAATGAATAGTGGTACTGTTATGATTAGACAGACTTCCTACCAATGTCCTTCCTATCTGCAGACACATCCAACTATAGGCAATTTTAATGTCTGGTGATCTTATACTTCCTATTTTAAGCATCATTTTCATTTTATATGTGGGTTTCCTTTTATTCTTTTCCATGAACCAAAGTCTGAAGTTAATGCAATCCTATTTTTAGAAAAATTTCCTTTCCCTCATTGGTGTCCTTAAATTGTGCTCAGCTCTCTCCACAAGTATGAAACTACTTCCCGTGTGGATCTCCAGGTGTGTTACCATTTTAAACACAAGGACCTTCGTTTTCATTCTGTTATTTTTCATGTACTCTGCTGAGATTATAGTCTTGCTTCTGCTGGGCAACCCTTGGCACAAAACCTATAGGAATGAAGTCCTCCAGGACTCCAGGAATCTTTCCTGCTGACCTCCTGGGGGACTGGGGCTTCTTGTGAACAGAATGCTGAGGCGTGGCCTTGCATCCAGCTCTGCATTTTCCCATCCTTTATTTTATTGTCAGAGTTACTCGGTAGTAGAAAGGGCAGCACTGGGCACACTGCCGTGATCCATATGTGTTGACGGACCCAGGGGAGGATGCCGTATCTCACTGTCTTCTGTTCTCGTTAGAATGTAACTGGTTCTTGTTACCCTCTTGCAGTAATGTTCTCAGAATGAGAAGAACAAAACAAAAAAACATACTTTATCGGACAATTTATCAACTTTTCATTTTTATCTTCGTTTGATGTTTCTTGGAAAACTTGACTAACACACTAGAATGTGTGGGTACGCGTAATTACACGCTTTCCTTGTCAGTTCTGTGTTTTGTATACTGCAGTTATTTATAATTTAAGACTTGAAATGCAACTTGAATTAGAGCTCACAGATCAATTACTTCATAGTAAGCTGTTAAGCCTTAATCCGTTTTGACAAAAATATTTATGAACAGCTGAAATAGAGCCGTTTTATGATTATAAATGTGATTTGTCTGCTTTTCTATCTGCTCATGAAGGTATCACTGTAGAATCCTGCTCTAAGGAACCCCATGCAGGTGCTTTAGGCATCAAGCTCTGCTCATACCACTATATTCACTCGAGTGATGTGTCTGACCATTGTGTTTCCTAGCTAGAAATTATACTTTCGGATTTGGATAGTGTGTGTGTGTGTGTGTGTGTGTGTGTGTATCTGTGTATGTGTGTATGTGTGTGCGCACGTGCTATGCATGCAGATAATCTACATGTCCATGAATGGAGGCCAGAGGTTGACATGAGGCATCTTTCTCCATTTGTAGTCCAACTGGATTTTGAAACATGGTTGCTCACTCTACCTAGAGCTCACCAATATGAGCTGCCCATTGAGCTCCAGGAATTTGTTCCTCTGTCCTTCCAATAGGATGCTTTTTCCACCCCCATGCCTGACTTTTAATATGTGTTGGGGAATCCAAACTCTGGCCCTTGGACTTGACAGCAAGCACGTTGCAATTGAGCCATCTCCAGGCCCTGGTGTGATATATTCTCCTGAGAATAACATCAGGATTTTAAAACTGAGCAAATGTCTCCCCAGTCTTACAGTCTATCCTTCTGTCCAAAAGGAAGTCCCACTCAAATATCCACAGGTCATAGAATCAAGCCGGTCTAATAGCTGTAGCCAGAGAAAGAGTCAGGAGACCCCTTTGTGACTGACAGTTTTACTTGCATGGGTCCACCAAGCCCTATAATTGCTCATGATTGACAGAGATATGATGTTATTGTTGGTCGCTTAAACCCTCTGAGGTGTGCAATCCGATGCTGTTGCACAGCCTCTTTTGTTCCTCCACCTTCAGCAATTGTCAACTCAGTTTGAACGTGAGAATCTTGCTGACAGATGAGCGAGGCAGACCAAGCCAAGCTAAGCTTACTATGCTGGTTCTGTGGTGGATGAATTAGGAAACGAAATCTCTGAAGAACTTTAAGAGGCAAAACTCTGACATCCCTACTTCATAATGAAGAAACAACCGATTTCTCATTCGAGAGTACTCCTTTTCCAGCTATCAGTAAGGCGGTAACAACCACTCATGCTTCCACCGTTTCAGGTATCAGTTTCCATATTGCCTTTGTGACCAAGACTGGCTCTACCCATTTTACAAAGGAAGAAACTGGGGGATGGGCCCATCACTTAACTTGTCCTAGAGTGTACATCAATCATGAGGCAGAAGTAGAATTTGAACCCAGTTCTATCTCTCTTCAAAACTAACTTCCCTCCGTGTTGCCCAAAGACATTTTCAGGCAAGTTGAGTTTTAGTGTAACTGCGTAGCATCCTTGTTGTGCCTTACTCTCCCTGTTGCTTTGTATCGGTCACATTAAGTACTTTGTAGAACACGCTCAGCTGCCCGTGTCCCCCAAATGCACACTCAGCTGCCCATGTCCCCATATGCACACCCAGCTGCCCCATGTCCCCATGTACACACCCAGCTGCCCATGTCCCCATATACACACCCAGCTGCCCATGTTCCCATATACACACTCAGCTGCCCATGT